AGATGCTCAGAAGAGTCTGTACGAGGGACACTTGGGAGATGTTGGAGCAGAGGTAACCAGGAGGGTGACCTTCTGAGTTCCTCTTGCTTTCAGGTTATTTTTTCTCACATTATCTTTTTTGCAGCTGGTGCCTACTTGCTAGTGCCAGTAACAAGCAAAGACATTATAGTAATAAGTACAGAAAAATGGGGATGAATTCATCAGTGAATGCTGATACATTGCTGGGCTCCAGCTGCAGTTTCTCTGAATTGCTAAAACTGAAGGTACATTTTTTAAACGGTAATAATGAGGCTTGGTTATTCCCTGTATGAGTGTCAGCTTCCTTTGGACTCACTGTAAAATCACATAATTTTGTCAAACTGCTGCACAGGGCAAGTGGAGTTATCAGTGCCTGCAGTGAGCTCGGTTTCAAGGCTTGGTTGTTTTGTAGCTGTCCGTGGCGGGTGGCCACATGTGCATACATCCTCTAGCATTTGTGTCATGCAGGCTAGGAGCTAAGCCATGATCTCCTCATCTTTAAGACACTCTAATAAGTAGCCCTGCTATGAACTTCCTGCGGGAGTCTTAGGCGAGTCACACTGTCTGTCTATGCCCCACTTTCTGTCATCAAAGGTGAGCTCCTATTCACTGATTTTGTATTTCTGTTTAGGGAAGGATATTAGTGAGTTCTGCGTGATTTGGTAACCTTTGTATGACATTAAGCTATCTAAAGCAATTTTTTATTCTTCTATCTTTTTCATCAAGAAATGAATCATCATCTTCATCATCTTTTTCAAGACCAACTTGAGTAGGCTGCTGCAGGGGGGTTGAAGCTAGGTAATCTTTGAGGCCTTTTTCAACTCAGGCCACTCTGTGTTTCTATGATTCTGTGACTTAAGAACAGCTGCTATTGCAGCATTTGGTTGTGTTTGGAGAAAAAACAAAAAACTCGTAGACATGCAAACAAATGTACTGGGAGTGTCAATGAGGATTTTGCAAAAGCAGAACAGCTCACAGGGATTATATTGCCAAAATGTGTTGAGATGGAACAGGAAGGTTTAAGAGGTACTGAAGAAAGGGATGGCAATAAATCAGGAGTGTTTCAGAGGGATGTGGAAGTCTGAGGCAGAGAAGAAAGAGGTGGGGGAGAGTGGAGTGTGAAGATGATGGTAGTGTATGGATATGAACACAGAGGAAACCTCTTCCCCAAAATAGCATTAAAAAGAATGAAATAAAAAAGAAATCCATGTATAGATTACATGTACATATATGTATGTCTGTCTGCACATGCTGCTATGTTGGGTTGCAGGTCTATCCCAATTCAGTGGGATGGATTGATGTGGCACTCAGGCTTAGCACCAGCCACTTTGCGCTGTGCTGCATCAGTCTGACTGATGTACTGGCGTTTGAAATTCTTCTCACGGCGTAGAGCTTTAAGGATGCTAAAACTTCTGCTGTGCTGTCAGCCCCTCCTCACAGTGAGTCTGTATCGTGAATGCAGGTGACAAAAACAGCTGTGGAAATCACTGAGTTTTCAGTGTGGATGTTATTTTCTGCCTACAAATGCACTGTCGTGACACATGTTGCTAAACATGCCAACGCTGCTGCGGGTGTGCCAGATATCAAAATGCCGACCACTAGGTCCAAGCAAGAGGCCATCTGGCTGTATATTCTTTGTAGTGGTGACCACAATGACAGTCTGGAGACAAGAATAAGATGCTCAAAAATGGCACTTTCTTTCATTTTGTCTTGTGGAGTCTGCCAAACAAGTGCTCAGGGTCTTCCTGGGCCATAGATAGCTTCTTGAACAATGCATGTAACTGTCACGGTTAGACCGACCTCCATATATCTTCTAAACATTATTTCTGTTGCTTTTAATAACTCACTGTTGTATGAATATTACTATTTTTCCAAGCTTGTTTCCCCAGTGCTATGTGACTTGATGAGAAAATATCAGCGCATTCAAGACGGCAGCCTAGAAGCAGAGCTCCATTCTGGGTCGTTATGTTTTATCCTTGTAGGAGTACATTTTGGCACAGATTGTCTTTGCATTGGCTTTGAGACTTTAAACTATTTAAAGCTGTCTGTTGATAAATGTGATAATTTTTCCAGTCCCTTAATGATTTGTGGAATGTCTGCATATGGATGTTCTCTTTTGTTTTTTGCAGTTATGCTGAGCAGCTGTTCTTGAAAAAGTAGGTTTATAAATTGTTGGATTTTTTTCCGTGTTTACTTTTACTAATCACTTTAAAGGTAAAATGGCATGTTCTATAACCGTGTCACAAAACTTTCCAGCTGAATATTTGCTTTATGCTGGAGACAAACAGTCTTTCTCGTGAAAACTTTCCTAAACAAACTCCAAAAAAGGAAAAGCAATTCATTGGAAAGGAGCAATGTTTTCTAGCGCCAGGGTTTGTATTTACATTGGTTCTGCACTTTCATCTGTTGGGCATGACCTCTGGACAAGGAGCTGTGTTCTGGCTGTGCATGGGAAGGCATGGGTTGGTGTCTGCATGTCTCACTGCTGATGTTGGCTGCTCTTGTGAAGGAAATGAATACAGGTGGCTTGTGCAAAGTTCTTGGGCTGTGTTGGAGGAGATAGATATATCTAACCCAACAGGAGTATTAGTTGCTTGTTTGTGATCAATTGTCATAACTAAAACAGCTGCTTCCCTTGTAGGTTTGAAAGCACATGTGTTCACCCAGATGGGTTCAATGGGGCAAATGTCATTCACCAATGTAACTGAAAAATATAGACATAGAAGGAGAAAAAATATTAATCCAAAGAAAATAGTATATAAAATAGGATGATGAAGTTCCTTTGTTAACGAGGCTGCTGACCTTTCAGATGCAAACAGATGATTGTTTCCATATGACATGCTGAGATGTTAATGTTTCAGATGTGCTTTAAAACTATCTCAAGCTTGAAAAGATTATGCATTTTTAACATTTGACTTTTTTTAATGGTTATAAGATATTGTCTTCATTAGGGACCTTGGCAGATGCTCACAAGAGCTCTGCTGCAAAATTCTCCTTTATTCTGCCAAAAAAAAAAAAAAAAAAAAAAAAAAGGAAAATCTCAGAATAGGGCCAGAAATTAATTATTTTTTTTTTTATATTGACTGATGGGAAAACATTTGATGGCACTAGAATGGGGGGATGTTACCCTGTAATTTGTACTTTCTAACAGAACCCTGATTTATCAATGGGCTTTTGCCTATCTTTTTAACAGACCTTTTGTAGTTCATTGCAGCAAGCACTGGGAGCAAATGAGAATGTATTTTCTGTTTCAAATTCCAATCAGTAAAAAAAATCGCCTGGAAAAAATCATAGATTTTTGCTCGTTATATTTTATGTTTGTATTTCACTCTATGCTTAAACCCAGCATAATATCATTCATTGCTAATGCTTGCTAAACACTTTAGATAACATGATTAGAGAATTAGAGATAAGATAAATATGTTCTATTCTTTTTGGAGTGGTAATCTGCTACTGTGTAGAAAAGGGTTTTACTTCTTTGGGGGCGTTGCGGATGGCAGAGATGAGCTCCTAGCAGAGGTGTGGTCCCTTACATCACAGCAGTTGTTGTTTATGCAATAGTCTCATTTGGTTTCCAGATCTGTGGGCTGTGCCGTGACAAGTTTGCCAGTTTGATCTGATTCTCATATCTGCATTAAGCTTACTAACATGCACGAGGCCTAACACAGCAACTCAAACATCCTTAATAATGTTCCAACTCTTTAACCCCCAAACGAGAAGAAATGAGCAGCAAAGTGTAGAACAGATCTACTTGATACACTACTTAATTTGAAAACACAATGTCTGCTCTTTGGATGTATCAGCTTTAAGATACCTCTTGGGACAATGTCGTAAATCATGAATGTCAACATAAATTAAAATTGTATCAATTATCTATTTGTTTGTATGTTTTAGAAAATAGGCATTGATACGAGACATTTTGGAGAGAGAAGATTTAAGAATGACTGATGCCACCAGTATAGTACTTGATTCAAATATTACAGAATCGGAATCATGGAAACACCAAGGTTGGAAAAGACCTCCAAGATCATCCAGTCCAACCATCCACCATATCACTAATAGTTCCCACTAAAAAGAACCCCTTGTGCTGCTCATATTGTTATGTGAACTCCTCAATGGGACAACTGGAGGTGTAATAGGAAGCAGAGCTTCAAGCATAGCTTATGGAACCACACAGAAAATGGACCATTAAAAGTAGGGCAGTTGCTCAAAAAGCAGCTGTTTCTAAATATTTTTGAAGTTCTTTTACAAACTTATTGCAATGTACATTGCTGCTCTAGAATTAGGATGACATTTGCTTTGACCTATTCTGCTGACGAATGAATGCATAGCTTAAATTGAAATTACTTTGCAAAACTGATGAATGTTTTTTGTCTTTGGCCTATGGTCTATCTCTGACATATTTTACCATGCTGATTTTTTAGAAAATAATCTCTTCCAAGAGATTCTTCTCCTTCTACTTTATGTAGAGAGACTCATACTATTTGCACAGTTATATCCACAGGCCAGGCACACTATCAGCTCTTTTCCAAAGACCAAGTATTTTCTGCCTGCCCAGACAGCGTGCATGATATTTTTCCTATTTAATTGGCTATGACACAATTTGTCTGCCTGTCAAGTCATCTGTGCCTTTAGTAAAAACTGGCTGGTCACAGTAGCTTTCAATCCCTCTACAAGATAGTTAAGAAGATGTTAATAATTTAGTCTGAAGCTTGCAAAGAGCAACTGAGACGTGCAATTGATTTAAGAGTAACTTAAATGCTAAATTCAAGCCTTTAATCATCTAAGCTTTCCTATTTGTTTCCAGGGATGACAGTAAAATAAAGAAACAAGATGGTCCAGCACTTTGTGATCTTCGCCTTTGTAAGGATGGGCCAATAAGAAATGGACACATTGGGCAGAGGCCACCACCAATCAACCCTGAAAGACTGAAAGATTTCGTTGAGGAGGATTACCTCAATGGGGATGTGAAGACGTGGGAAATGAAGATAGTCAGCCGCAATGAGGAGTTACTTGGGGATGCCCTTTCCCTCCTCCCTCAGTCAAGCAGCAGGACCAGCCTGTCCAGCCACAACAAACTGATTCGATTTGAAGACATTAGTGCAGCAGCTTTCAAAATCCAGTCCGGTGTTCAGAAAACCCCTTGCATGGTAGGGGATTCTTATGTCTTTAAGCTCTCTTAATAGTGCTTTTATTTTTTTAATAGAAGTTGGTTGGAAATGAATGAAGAGCGTTCACTGTAGCAGGTGGATTTGTGTGAGATGACCTGAGTCCATATTAGTTGTTGTGAACTGTCAGTAATCATTTTCTACTTACCTGTTTGTGCTAACTGCAAAGTGTAATCCTCGAAGATTGCAGTGACCTGTAAACAAAGGATAAACCACATTAGGCACTGACTTAATGCAATGTGGTATTATGCTCCGGGTGAAAAACTCATGCTACAGGGAGTCCCTGTGTTAGTGTCAGGGTAAGGAGTCATGTGAGGGGGTCTTTTTTGGAACCAGCCCACGCATCTGGGAAGTGTGAAGGATCAGATATTGCTTCCTGGCCTGGGAAGCCTGGGAAGCCTGGCTCTGTACTGTGACCAGGTGGTTCTGCCACACGCCTCTTCAACAAAACAAGGGCATTGAGAAACACACACATGGAAACGCTCTCATTGTAGATGCAGAAGCGTCTGTTCAAACGTAAGAGAGGTGCAGTTGCACCATCTCTTCAGTGCAGACTTCAGCTATTGGATTCAAGATGTCTTTCTGCTGTTGGGAGCTCCTCAGGAAGACGACTGTAGGCACTGTTTGGCTGATCTCCTTTTTTTCTTGCTGTGGGAAAGGAGTCTTTGCTAAGTGGCAGATGAGCAGAGCAGCCCCAAGTCACTCTGCAGAGATGTCTTCCTGGGCACACCACTGGCCTCACCAGCTGTCAGTTGTCTTTCTGGACTGCATGGAAAAGGGAACGTGATGTGTGAGCCCCTATCTGGGGCTGGCAGTCTGTGGGTGCAGGTCAGTTGGGTCTGCAGTGCACAGCACTAGATTGTGCCTGATCCAGAGGTATCATAATGATTTTCAGTAGGTTTTTTTTGTTGTTTTTTTTTTGTTTGGCTCTGTTCCCAGAATAAGGGTAGTCTTGGCCACATGCCCACAGCAGGATTCATTTGCACCCCCTGCTTGGATGGATCTGACAAACAACTCCCAAGTACTGGGATCTGTACCTCAGTCCTAATTCCCTAACTGCTCCCTAAGCATGGCTCCTGCTCTATACACAGTGTGAGAAAAGAAGTGTGAACCATGGAGCCCATCTTCTGTCCCTGCAGAGGCATCTGTGTGATATGGAGCTCCTCATACATTGACAGTGCTCCTACTCACAGGCAGTGAAGTTCTCTTGGGCCTATTCACAGTTGCTCTCAGGCAACTCTGCCCCTTAACTTAAATAGCTTAAATGGAATTCCGGAGTGGGAGGTAAGAGCCGCTTTCAGAGCTTTCATTTGCATAAAGAAGCAAGTTTGACTAAAACTTACTCGATTAACTGAACAGACAAATACTTTGCATCCTGGTTCCTAAACTCCAGGCAGTACCACGAGTGAAGCATCCTCCTTCAGTCAGCAATCTGCCTGAAGCTGAGACATGGCATGACGCATGCTCATGACAGATGTTACAGAGGTATTAAGTAAAGGGAAGCAAGGACAGAATTGAATTGGACATTGATTTGGGCCCTGACGTAGGAACTTTTGTGTTGTTTTGTGTTGGCTTTATGGATGCCAAGCAGAGGCTGCACTGTGCTGACTTGGTATCCTCAGACTTGGTATCCGTGGTCCCTAGATAAGGGCAAGGTTACAAAAGGGAAAAGTTAGAGGGTGGGACATTGACTCTCACAAATTGGGTTGCTACAGGTGAGTATAGATGGACGCCTCCATTGCTAGAAATAGCTGTTGTATTTATGCCATGTAAAAAAGCCTCAGTTAAAAAAAGCAGAAAAAGAAAACTTGAAGAGTTAAAATGTTGACAATCAATACTTAAAAAAAGACATACCTGAAGTATACCACTTCTATGACTAATGTTCATTTTAAAATGTAGGAGGCAGCAACTGCACAAAGTCACAGGATTCAACTCCTCAAATCCTTTCTCCTTACTGTAGAATCCAAGATGCTCTAAAAAACAGAACGAGTAGCAGTGGGGAGGTATGTGAAGGTCCAGTAAAGCAGCATTTCATGTCCAGTGCTCTCCTGTTTTGTTTAAGCAGTCTCTATAATTTAGGGTGTTTAGGTTAGGAACTGCTATCCTCTTAGTTTCTGAAGCGATTTCCTTAAGTTCTGCGGCCTGATTTTCATAGGGAGCAGCAAGTGGGAGCTCCTAGCACAGGATTTTGTAAATGTACTTTTTGGGGATCCTGCACAGCATTTGTATGCCTGCCTGAATGGGGCAGGTTTTTCTTAATTTTAGGTCCATCACCACAATAATCATGTTTCTGTTGTCCAGTACTCCAGGCTATCCAAGCTGTATGGAGTTGACCTCTACCTAAAGAAAGAGTTCCTCCAGTACACGGGATCTGTGAAGGAGAGAGGTGTGCTTTATCTTCTGACATCACTGCCTCAGGTATAACAAAATGTCAAGTATAAAGATAAATAATTTGTTCTGTTTCACAGCAATCAAACACAATTAGACTTTACCTGTGGTGCTTCTTGACTTTTGAACCACTGTGTTAAACAACATAGATAGGTCTGCAAATCATAGAATCACAGAATGGCCAGCGTTGAAAAGGACCAGAATGATCGTCTGGTTCCAACACCCTGCTGTGTGCAGGGTCACCAACCAGCAGACCAGGCTGCCCAGAGCCACATCCAGCCTGGCCTTGAATGCCTGCAGGGATGGGGCATCCACAACCTCCATGGGCAACCTGTTCCAGTGCCTCACCATCCTCTGGGTGAAAAATACCTCAATGTAACATGTTGTACTTATGCATGGCCAATCCAGTGGTGAATACTTAAAATGTTTGAAAGAATAATTGGCAAAGTGTAACCTTCTGTTTTCCTGTGATGTTTAGATGGGATTGCTTATATGTGTATGTGTTCTGATACATGAAACCACCAAATTTGAAGTGACGATGAAATTGACAGTGGATGAGGAAAAGGATCTCAATCCAGGAACAGGGACTGATCTTATGCTGTCTTAGTTCTGTGTCTAAAAATCACCTCAGATATGTGTACTGTTTCACAATACCCTAAGATTATTAGACAGCAGAGGAAAAGAGAACTTCCTAATAGAAAAATGTCAGACCACTAGGCTGATCAAGAATTATATGAGACAAATTTGTGATACTGCATAACGTGCATTAAACTTTTCTGTGTTTTTAGGATCAGCAAAGGAAGGGAGTGATTGTGGCTTCAGATGGGAACTTTTCCATGGCTGTTGCTTACCATGCCTCAGAGCTTCATATCCCAGTTTTTGTCATCATGTCAACCAGCACTTCCCCTGCCAGAGTGAAAATGTGCCGTGAGTACGGTGCCATGGTTATATCCTATGGCACTACAGCTAAGGACTCCCAGATGCATGCAAGAAGGCTGGCACAGGAAAATGGTTATCTCTACCTGGAAGAGTAAGTGGGAAGTCAGATTGTTTAGAAAGACCATAGCACTAAAGTAAAAACAAGTGGTTTGATTAGTTGTCATTAACTGAACATTTGCTCATATATCATAAAAAGGCTCCTGTAACTGAGGTACTTTTATTTTCTAAGGTGCAAACAGTAAATCTTTCTGTAACACTTTGGAATGGAATCCAAAATGAGGCGCTTCCCATTTTCCCAAAGTTAAGGAAACTTCCTGATCAGGAACTTCATGGGATGAATATATCTTGTGTGTGTGTGTGTACATATATATATATTTATATAAAATTACAGGTGTATGTTAAATCTTTATGAAACATGTCAGTATGCACTGAGGTTCGGTCTGTTTTTGGTCTCTTTCTCAGGATCAAGGTGGGTTAAAGTTAACCTTAAACACAAAGGGTTTGGAAGTGTAGGATAGAGCAAGAGATTAATGCTGCAAAATATCTTGTGTGACTTGTCAAATTTGTTTTTTCCTTGAAGGAAGCTCATTAGGAGGCTACTTCACACACGTATTTAAAGTAGCTGAGGATGACTGAAAGTTGAAGTAGTTAATTATAAAATGGAGTTTGTGAGCTATTTGAGCTCATGGAATAAGCCAGGTCTAATAAAAATACAATTAGAGCCAGAGGTAGAATTATTTAGAACTGGTTCAGTGTTCCTTTTCTTCCTTTTCTCTTTGCAGTCTCTTCTGCCTTTGCCTTCAGTTTTCTTTCTTCTAAGCTTTTTTGAAGTAAGATCACTGAAAGGGCAGAGGGGTGGATCGCTATCATGACACAGCTCCCTCTGATGCACTAAGTTGCAGTCTCACATCCAGGCTATTGCTGCCTCTGTGTAGGCTGCAAGGCTTTATCCACCACTGTGAGTTGATACAGCTCTTACTGAAGTGAGAGCCTGCTCCCTTGGGCTGTTAGCCCTACTGCCACAAACACAGCAATAATGGGTGATATTGCTTGGAAAGAGGATTTCAGAATGAACAAGATATAAAGAGTCCTTAATTCTTTCCTAACTGGTTCACTAGGGAAGCAATATTAAAAACTACTCTACAGCTGCACAGGGAGTTCTGCTAGCAGCTGGAGGCCGCAGGGCTGGTTGGTGCGCATCAGCTGTTGCCGTGGGCTCAGCCTTTCCTCAGACTGAGACTTGCAAGGAAGGTATCCTAGACTCCACTGAATTTTAAAACCAGTCATGTTCTTTTTGAGAAACCATAGCTTTCCATAATCTTGTGATTTCCAAATTTCTGACAGATGTTTTTCAATCAGAGCATTCGCTCCAAGTTGGCTTGCATCAGCTATTGCATTTGCACATAATAAATAATTGTTGTATTATAATTTCATGTTTAATCTTCACCTCCTACCCAAATAATTATTTGTGTTATGTAAGGGCAATATTTTCTGGGCACGTGAAGCTCTAGGGACAGTATGTGTAAATCATCTGGCATTGATGAGTTCTAAATGACATTATCATTGATAACGTCAAAACACTGATTTATTCTGCTTCAAGTAGTAAGAAGTAGATATCCAATTTATCACTATGTTTAATTAAAATGTTTCTCTTCACAGATGAGTTTTTTCACAATCTGAAGGAAAAATAAAAAAAAACAACCTTGAAAGATAGCGACAACATAAAAAAGCTTGGAGTTGTGAGCCACATTTTGTTAGGTATAGGCTGGGATAATTTTCCCAGAGAGACAAGTGCATGTATGGATAGAAGTCATCTTCAGTGTTTCTGCCACATATTCACCACCACTTGCCAAAGCCACTCATAAAAGACTAGCCATCCTTCTGCTTTAGAAAGGAACTTCTGAAATGGAATTTTATTTTATTTTAATTCTAGTTTGCCTAGAATCCTCAGCGACACTATCCTTTGATACCTAAAAAATCACAGTAATGCTTTTCCACATACTAAAAGCATTCCCACACAACGCAAGCCGGTGGGTTTGTTTTCTTTATTTATTGCTCACTGAATATAGGAGAGAAAAAAAAAATGTAAGTAACAAGTGAATACTGAAAACAACTGCAACCATCGAGGACCCAGTCCTCTACTGGGGTAGGCAGATGAGATCCAAGAGATGAAATGTATTTATTGATCAGGCTTGTTGCAGTACTGCTGGGATAAAGAAAAGTGTCTTTGTGGATTCTCTGATCTCCTTAACCAGCAACTCCTTCTTTCCTTTCTGAAACAGGCATTACATGCCTCTCTTAAGTCTCACCGGTGCACGTAATGTCCTGTAGTTGGGTGTGTCCATGTCAGTGCGTCCCATTTCTTGAGTGCAATTAAAATGCAGTGTTATGAAAATGAGCGTGCAGTTGTTGAATTAGGAGAGGGAATTTTTCATCCAGTTGTGACTTCCTGTAAAATTCCAGGAAGGAAATGTGATTTTCCAAGGTGGAATTCGGTCATGAAGTCTACGCAATTGCTGCTCAGGTAACACAGGATTTCCAGTTTCTATAGGTGGTAGGTCAGGACCTTATGATAAACATAATCCGAAGATTGCCACTAAATCACAGAGTACCTTTGGGATGATGTGAGAATGATTGATTTGTGAGATATTAGGGTGCCACAATGAATTACGCACCTTCCTTCCTTGGGAGTCCAATTTTTTCTCATGTGATTCCTTATCCAAATACCAATCAGATGTCCTAGTTCCCTTCTGGTTTGGGTAGTCTACCTCTCTAAGGAGGGCAGCAGGTAGCTTTGGCACCCTTCATCAGGACTAGAGCCTGCTAACTGCCAAGTCGGAATTTCATTGTCAACCTGCAGCCTGGCAGCCCATTTTGATTGTTGATATGTTGTGTGTTTCAGATCGCAAAGGGCCAGATTTCTACCTGTCACTCATAAATACATGCTTGAATATACAATCTTTAAAATTATCTGCTCCTCTTCATTGCCCTTCCTTCAATATGATACTGAAAGAGCAAATGATCGATCACAGTGCAAATAAAATCACCCATTTATTACAAGAAACTTAAGGCTAATCAGTGAACTGGCATTCTAATTAGATACTAGTAAAAAACCCATGTTTATCTAAAACACTCAAATCTAATCAATCTTTATGTACAGAGCACTCTCCTTTGGAAACAATTTTTAGTCAGAGCAGTTCTGTTCATAAGTTGAGTATTCCACATTTTAATCCATCTTTGCAAGTCCCCAGAATTGCAGGGACAACTAATTTCTGAATTTTATTTGTGAATAAGACTCCAGAAAATAAGTAAATAAATCAGGAGGCAATAATATTTACAAAAATTTTGTTATGTATAGAAAAGAGGAAGAGACCTCCCAAAGTATTTTGATAAACACAATAAATTCAAGAGTTCAGTTACTGGTTCCTCTGTAATTTCTTGACTGTCTGTCTTATCCTACATTTTCAGCATTGCCAACATCTAAATAAAATTCAAAACATCTTTTTAGAAACAGATCCAAGTAAATCATATGACTGCACAGTGGACATTTCCTCAGTGTTTTGACTCTGTTTGTCCTCGTTCTGGTCATTAAATTACCGTTGTGTGAAAGTGAGAGTTTTGGCAGACAAATCCTTTGATTATCTTTTCATTAGGTATTCCAAAGCAATGTGAAAGCATCAGATACTGGCCCTGGTCTGTGAAAAGACAGAATTCCAGAGCAGTCTGGTATTTGCAAAAAAAACAACAAAAAAACCTGCTTAAATTTCATAAAAATTCCTAATTATAATGGATGTGCACTTCTACTTATAAGAGAAAAAGAACTTCTTTTCAGACTTTGCTTTTAGTTTTGGCTACAACATTCAGAGTTCATAGAACTTAAGAAATGGTGACAACAGAAAAATGATTTGTCTCCTTACCAGATCTGTAAATCCCTGGTGTTGATAACAGAGCAATGGGCTCTTCAGCCTAAATGCTGTTTGGAAGGCCTACCCATGGCCAAACCATTCTACACATTCTCACTGATTGCTGTTTACTGCTTTAATTGTAGGACCCACTCCTATGTGATAACTAGCACCCCTATTAGGCCCAAATGCAGAGATTCAGGTGACTTGAGGCACTTGCTGACCTGACTATACCTACAGCACTTGTACCTCTGCTTTTCGTAGGGTTTTGCTTTGTCATAATTTTTTTTCTCACATTTTGATTTCGCTCCTCCCTGTTTGTCAATGGCACAACATATTCATCTGGTAGAGAACATCACTCTTCACAAAGCGTGTTACAACCACATCAACTCCTGGCTTCACTGTGCATTTACTCGTATGCTTTTCCTACAGCCCTGCTGATCTGTGCCTTTCTTTCCCACAGGGAGGACAGTGCTGTGTACCTGTCAGGCCTTGGCACCATGGGGCTGGAGATGTACGAGCAGGTGCCCAAGCTGGATGCAGTGATTTTGCCTGCAGGAGGCCACTGTGGCTTGCTGGCAGGCTCGGCTGCTGCACTAAAACACCTCAACCCACGTATTTCTGTCATTGTAAGTTTGCTCTCACCTAGCAAGAGTTGCATTTTGATAACTTTTGCCACAGATTTTTATTTCCAAAAGCACTGGAATATAGTGATCTGCTGGCATGGACTGCCTGTGCTGGGGATGGGTACTACCTGTGGCCATGGTCTTTCCCTGCAAGATGGGCCTGAGAGCCTTGCAGCCACCTGCCTTCTGGCTGGATTTAAGATATTTAAGAAGGTTCTTCCAAAGCACATGGAATCCAGTTCCGTGTTTTGGATTGATTTCTTACTGGAAAAGTTGGATCCTTAGGATACCACGGTTCAAAGTGCTCAAGAGGGATGTAAAAGAGGAAGGAGGAAGTTTTTCACTCATAGGGTGGTAAAGCACTGGAACAGGCTGCCCAAGGAGGCTGTGGATGCCCCATCCCCGGAGGCATTCAAGGCCAGGCTGGATGTGGCTCTGGGCAGCCTGGTCTGGTGGTTGGCGACCCTGCATACAGCAGGGGGTTGAAACCAGATGATCATTGTGGTCCTTTTCAACCCAGGCCATTCTATGATTCTAAAGATCCATAATGTAGCATTGCTGTCCTGATTATATTACAGTGCTGTGGACTTACGTCTAGGAAGTTCTGCTGCTGTAATTTATGGATGTATTTGACATTGTAGATTAATGGAATCTCCATTTGTAGAAGGTGGCAGTAATTTAATCATCAGGCTTTTCAATACATTCTTTTCAAACATAGTTCTGCTTCAAAAGTGATGAGGAATGAGATAAAAAGGTAGGATAAAACAAATGAGGAGCTTTTACTAATCACAAAATGGATATTTCACAGCTGTGAAATAACACGCTCAATCAGTATTTATTTTTCAATCAACATGTTCTGTGAAGGATTTCTTAAAACACCGAAACCAATTCCACCCCCCGCTCACCTTTACTCCTCAGTATCCATGCATCATCCCATACATGGCAATGAGATTGGATTTCACATTATCATCATCTGTGTCTTTTGTACTTTTTGCAAAACAATACGCTTAGGAAGATGAAAAGCTTTTTGCCTTTTGTACTCATTTTCAGTTCACTCTGAAATTTCTACGGAAATTTGTTCTAAAAATATTCCCCATCCCTTCTTAAATTTAAACTGCATAGAAAAGTGAATGCACGTTTAGAATATGAGTGAATTTCAAGTTGCATTAGTGCTGATTCTAAGAAGAAATGTGGTGTAGATTTTTTGGAGTTGACTTTGACAGCGACTTCTGTCATAACTTCAACACTAAACAATGCTGTTGTTTGCCTTCCCCAGGGGGTTGAATCTGAAAGCTTTCCTGTATTGCAGCAGTCCCTGAAGGCTGGCCATCCAGCTGAAGACCAGGCTTGCAACAACCATCACTTTTATGGAGGTGAGAAAATGGGTTCTTCTTTTGGATGTGAAATAAAGGCTATAATTGATTTCACCCACCTCTTCATGGTCTTTTCCAACTAAATCAGTTTAAATATAATTAAAAAAAAACTTTTCTGAAGAGTCAGAATTCATTCGTGTTGTAAAAGCAGCTTCTGACACACCTCTCTGAGGTGCAGTACTCTTTCTTTTTTGCAGTACCCGAAATGTTTGGGGAACACTTCACAAATATGAGAGTATTTATCTGACCGCTGTGCTCACACACAATGTCTGAGCCAGTGAAGACAATGGGGAAGCTCTTGTGTAAAAGACTAATTTATAAAAAATGCCAGAAAGATCTGGTGCTTAAGTATTTAGACTAGCAGAGCTGCTTTCAGAATAACAGTGTTTATAAACAATTCAGTTGCTTCCATATAATTTGCATAAGAAACACTCAGGTCTTAAGCAAATTAAGCATATCCTGTTTACCTGATGTTAAAATCCCCCGAAGCTGTAGGTTTAATGGGGGTTTTATAAACAAATCACATAACTCGGGAAGTTCTGCCTCTCTTTGTGCTCCTTTGCAGGCTGTCCTAATGTGGCTGCAAACCCAGTGCTGCTCTGAGTGGTTCTTCTCTGATGGAGGACTCACTGTGCACTGAGGAGGTTTTCATAACAAGGACCCAAATGGCAAAATCTTCCTGAGAGATGTCTGTCAAATATAAATATCAAGCAACCTGAGATCTCAGAATAGCAATGTGCTGTGCTCATCAAGGAAATAAAACAATGTCTGGATTCTAAAATATGTTAAACTTTTCTAGAGCAGCCAGCCTCATATTTTTGTATTTTAAAATTTGCAGATGTGAGTGGACTTTGCTTTGGCAGCAACTCTTTGCAGCTGACTGGGAAACTTGTGGATAAGGTTGTTGCTGTGAGGTAGGTGATGAAAAAGAGTGAAATAAATAATATTATGGGAGCATCACCGCAAATATGATGTTGCTGACACCAGAGATAGTGAGCCTGATTTCATGTATCCGCCCCCTTTGGCCAAAACTCTTTGCTTGTTGCTAATAACCTCTTCTGCTCTGGGTATAGAACTTGTTCCTCATAGAATCACAGAATGGTCTATGTTGAGAAGGACCACAATGATCATCCAGTTTCAACCCCCCTGCTATGTGCCCAGAGCCACATCCAGCCTGGCCTTGAATGCCTCCAGGGATGGGGCATCCACAACCTCCTTTGGCAACCTGTTCCAGTGCCTAACCACCCTCTGGGTGAAAACCCTCTGTGTTCTTGTTGCATTTTACACCAACTGAAAGAAGCCTTTGGCAGAAGTCTTCCCAGTCTGCTGAGATGCCAAATTTGAAGACTGCATTTACCTAATGGGATATAGTTAGCATAATGGGTCAAGTAAAAAAAAATATATATATATATATCTCCCTGTCATTTAATAATTATTATTTCTGTATTTATTTTTATGTATTTATATTAATTGTATAGACAATATTTATTTATTTATTTATTTATTTATTTATTGCTAATAATAATAATAAAAGCAATCATAGTTAAATAATAAGACTCTCCATTCATTCCCAGCAACACAGCTTACTTTAACACCACAGTGAGATTATTATGTTCTCAGCAGGGCTAAAGGAATCCCTTGATACATAAATGTACTGTCTTCATTTACTGGTTGCTATTTGTTTTATCTGTTTTGTTTTGTTTCATTTTAATACCACTTTCTGGCCCTCAGTGAGGAGGACGTCCTCATTTCAATGCTGAGATTGCTGGAGTACGAGCGAGCCACAGTCGATGCAGAAGGGGCCATTGGGCTTGCAGCACTGGTTGCTGGGAAGCTGCCTGAGTTGAAGGGTAAAAGGTACAGCAGTTATTGCAAACAGGGCTTCATAAGGATCTGTGGGGCGGAGTGCTGTCATGATAGGAAATGGAGGAGTGATCATTTCTGCCTTGAGCTGCCAATGCTCTCGTCCATGACATCTACTTCAGGCTGAAAATACCATTCGTGTGACATAAGACTGTGCTGAACAAGACAGATGTCAGTCTGGACACCAGACAAATCACTTTCCTATAATCTCAAATGATGGTGAAAAAGGCAGTTGTGCACAGCCCCAGTTGGCTTGTCAACCAGCTGCCTTTTCTCATCCCACTTATGGAAGTCAATGGTTTGCAGTGGGTCTTTGCCATGAGAGTAAGCAAGCCAGGCTGTCATCTGTAGTCACTGGGTGACACCTACCTTCCAGCCCCAGGAACTCCTGCCCAGACGGTCACTGGGATTACCCTTGTGCTCAGCATTAAATAAAACTCCTTTCTTACATCTAGGCTTCAGCACTTAGGACTTAAGCAGCTTGAGCCCCAGCTCAGGGTATAGTCTGCAGTGTATTTAAATGTACGTGCACTCAAGACAAGATAAAATTTCCATTGCACGGCATGATATGTTGAAATACCACTGAGGCAGTTTCCCAGAACAGGCTTACAGGGTCTGACAACAAAGTTCAATTCAGCACAGCTGAAATAAGAGGGAAAGTGCACAGGACTGGCTCTGCAGGTTATCAGGGACTAACCATGTGGCTCTTCACTTGCCCTTCAAACATTTCTGTATTCATTTTGCAAGTTTGAGATGAATTTAATTAATGCTTACAGAAAGCATAGACCATGCATGACATCTAACTGTTAAGAATCTGAGACTCCCTTTGCAAGTGAAAGTGCTGTTGCTTTTTAAATTTGAAATAGATCTAGAATTGTCCATCTAATCAGTGCTAACAAAAATAAATCAACAGTGACAATGTGAAACAAGAGTGGTTTCAGACAGTATGGCTCCATAGGGTTCTGTATCCTGTGCACAGCTGACACAGAGGGCTGAGCCCCTCTGAAATGCAGTATATGTTTATGAAAGAGTGGTCCCCGCAGATGCTCAGCTGACATTGAATTCAGTGTCTGTGGTTTCTGACTCATTTGCAGAGAAAAGAGAAATAGAGAATCCTATTTTCTCTCCTCTTTCAGAGTGGCAATTGCTATTTGCAGTGGAAATGTGGATTTACATTTGCTGCAGCAATGCATTGCTCGTGCCCTGACCCTTGAGAGCAGAGTGTGCAGATTTTCCCTGGTGATTTCTGACTGCCCAGCAGATGTTTCAAAGCTACTGGAAGTTTTGGCTCGGGAAGAAGCAAGGTAACTCAGACTGATAACAGTGAAATGGAGCACAAAGGTGAATAAAGACTTGGTCGTGTTTGTAAATGTACTCTGGAGGCAAGAGTATAGGTTACTAATTAATCTGTGTTTTCTGTGTTACATTTCAGAAAAAGTATTTTTTCTTTATTTTTATTCCTATGTAAAATAACCTCTGGAGCATGGAACAAGTGCCTAACACAGAAAACTGCACAGATAGTTGCTGTCCAAACACAAAAATAATTTTATAATAACAAAAGTTTGCTGTAATCTGTAATTTATCACTTGTTTTATCCCTTATTTCATCTAGAGTTTTGGATATCAGACAAGAACGCACATTTGTGACATCGGAGCTCTTCAATGTTGAGGTAAGATGATGTGCAACTCCAGGACCTCTCACAGTGCTGACATCCCCCTATTTATTCTGATATCTAGATACCAGAGGAGTCCAATAGAGTGTGCACAATGACTTTCAGAGCAGTGTAATGGATAATGTCACCTGCATTATACAGCATCTTGCCTCACCAAACGCTCAGCATACACACACGTACTACCAGACCTGTTTTACCTGCTATTGCAACACAGCCAGTGAAATACTCAATGCAAACCTTCATTACTTAAATAGTTTTGTGCCGGAAGTGATGAGCAAGCTGCAGCACACATCTAGAACAGGAAGAGCCAGCTGTGTAGTCTGGCTGTAATTACCAAAGATCAGCTTGCCATGCAGCAACATGGAGAGCACCCTTACCCTTAAGGAATCCATGTTTTCAACCAGGGCATCAGTTTTGTACCTTAACCTCAAAGAGCACAGAATGGAGTATTTGCTGAGTATTTGATATGATAATGGGGAGGAGGTGTTATCAATTAATGACATCTCTTGAAAGGATTGTTCACCTCATGACATATCTCTTATTTCAACTGGTTGAGCAAACCAACCAAAGGTGTGGTTCCACTGGTTTCACGCTGCCAACCAAGGCTAATCTGACTTAGTTTGTGAAATCATGGGTGGAAGTTTGGAAACTTTGCTAACCTGGCTTATAATGGAATTCAGTAATGCTGTTTGATAAGAAAATTCTTCCATTTTCACTTTTAAATCTAAAATAATCAAATTTCCCAGCTAGAGGAAGGATGTGATGAGTCCTGCATTGGATATGAATTCATCTGAGTGTCAAAACCTGCTCAGTATTTTCAGCTATGGATGTAAAGAATAAACTGAATAAATAAGATCCACTCACAGATAAAAGGAGTAGGTTGACAAAGGAATATAGAAAAAAAAAGAATAGATGATTATAGTGAAGGACTTCAATGAAGCTATGACCAGTTTTCTGAGGTGTCTGAGGCTAACTGCATTATTTTGTGTTGTGCCACTAAGATAGGCCAGATCCCTGGTTGGTGTAATGTGACATTGCATGGGGTAGAAAAATCCCTATGACTCCTTTCTGCTTTTATCAGAATCCGCAGTAAATACAGTCTGTGAATGAGAAATGAGAAATGAAAAAATGCAGTGTTTTTGTCTGCATTTCAAACATGGTGTGTTTTCACTGACTTTCCACTTCAAGCATCTGATGGTGCTGTATTGCAAGAAGGTTAGAGGGAGGAACTCATGTCCCTGAATAATTTAATTGGATTTTGGATTTGCATGATGGCTCTTAACCAGTCTGGGGGAGGCTATTGGGTAATGAGATATGAAGTACAAAGTACTCATCCAGATATATAGAGCTCCATGGCTGTGCAGGTAGTTCTGTCTGGTGAGACCTAATGAATGGCAGACCTTTAATTGGAAAACTAAAACAAGGGTGATTGGGAAAGATGGAATATTTAATCTACCTTTAACCATTTAAATGCATTTGCTCTAAGCTGAAATGGAAGAATGCACATATTTTCATAGTAAAGCTAACTCATGTAGGGGAAGTTTTGCTTGTTTCTTTTACTGCTTGTAAGAACCAAAGCCCTGTACCAGCAATGCTTTTTGAGCACTGGCTTCTAAAGCAGACCCACACAGAATTTTGAATCATTTTGGTCAGTATAAATAATAAAAAAAAAAAATTAAATTAAGTATTTGCATTTACATGTGCATTTAAATCTGGATCAGAAATGAAAATCATTGTGTGTTGGACTAGTGCTATTAATAAGAAAGGCTTAATAGTTACATCTACTCTACCTTTAATGCACACCTTCAACTGTGGATATAGATTGTGTTTGACAGAGCAGTGTAGAAGTGTAGTGGCTTATGTGAAACACTAAATCAATCCTGTCTGGATTGTCATCTCTGTGTGCAGTCATCCTTACGGGTTTATCCCTTCATTTCCAAAGGAAGGAAACTTGGCCTCAAACTCAGGGATGTTTCTGGAAATATGCCTTGATGGGTGGGTGTTTATTCACCTGGTGCGGGCTGTGGGAGGATCCGTGCTTGAAGTAGTCATGACTTTCTAAAAGGAAGCTTTGTGTTCAAACTACATTTTTTTTTGCTTTTGGAATATTTCACTAGCAAAAATAAGAGATATTAAAAAAAATTTTTAAAATAAAAAAAGAAGGAGGAAGATGAAACAAGGAGAAACAAATCTTTCCATGTCTGATTTATGGTCACACCAGAGTTCAGCCAATGCTTAACGAAGTGCTGTGAGCAATGAGATTGGCAGGTCGCATTCCTTGGAAGACCATGGGATTTTCTTTTGGATACAGACTCGTTCCATCCCTATTTGATATTTTCTTACCCTGTGTCTTATGCTAGATTTCTGTCCTGCAGAGGACTATACCCTAATTTACCTGAGCAGATAGAAAATGGCTTCCAAGGTCCCAACATTGAAACAGACAAGAAGCTCTCAGCAAATCTACAAATAAATTCTGTAGGCTTTTACAACTATTGAAGCAATTTAGATGGCCAGGAATATGGAAGCACTAACACAGATGAGAGCTAAGGAATAGAGTCATCTAACATCACCAGCTAACCGAAAGTAGAGATTTAATGGTTTACCCAGTTGTTGGAAGGAAAGGAAAGGAAATCACAGCTTGCCTTTGTTAAACCAATCTTTATTAGTAATGTTTCTCACATCCCGTGTGGGAAAATACATTGTTTAAATAAATGCTTCCATCTGTAAACCACTTCATAGCTGTAACATCTCATACTATCACTAACTTAGGAGTCAATGAGCAAAATTTATAAGTGACTTGGTAAGCTGAGATACACTTTTGTTATGAAACCATGCAAGGCTCTGCTATAGATTACCAGTTGACTTGCTTAATGAGTGTCTCATATTTGAGCTCAGGCAACACATCTGAAAAAAAAAAAATGTGTTAAGCTCATCACGTTTCTAGGAAAGTCTTCTCCTCACCACTGTGACCAGCATGTGTGCAGGAGAACTTCTGGAATGGAGCAGCAAGAGCCTGCCAGGTTGTGAGGTGCTCCAGCAGCCTTGCAGAGAAGCAGCCACTGTGGAGCAATGCAGTTTTCCCTCTGCCCCCAGGCCTGCTTGAAGTTATGGGATTGTCTGGCCTCTTCCCAGCTCTGGTTTTAAATAACTTGGAAGAGACCAGTCATAAAAAGAACATCCATCACATCTTCCTCTGACTGCAACAATATATGAATTCATAACTCAAATGTTGCTTTTTCTTTATGATAATATTACACATTTTCCCAGTGGTGCTCCATTTCCTGGCTCAGTTTGTGCAGTGTAATATCTGCTGTATGCATAGTTTATTCCCCTCAGGCCAGAAGTCATTTAATTATTTTGGTCTGTTCAGATCAATTTGAGTAAATCCCTTTGGGCCAACCTGCATTCTGCAAAAGAGCAGAAAGAGCACGTTGGATTGGAGTCCCTAGATGCCAACATATTCCATGTTATTGGCCTTCTGAGAGAGTATAGCCGAGCACGCTGCTATTCAGCTATGAGAAGGATGCCATAGAGCATTTCCTGCATGACCTTGGGCAAGTCAGACAATAAGTTTCCTCTGAGGCCCTCCAGAAGTATACAGCCATTTTGTTTAATGGCATTCCACAGCACAATGCGTTAGAGAATATCTTACTGTGATTTTAAAAATTAGAAACTCAGTCTGAGGAAGCCAAGAGTAGACCTGCTTGACTATTATCCGGCTTGTTTAATGCTGAGACGACTTGTTGATGCTAGTGCTAGCAGGCCTGAGCACAAGTGTATGACAAAGGTAAGGGCTCAAGTTGCTCACCCCAGCTGTTACGCTTTCTCAAGCCTTACGTTGCACCAAGAAGAAGCTACTGGCAGCTGATGATTACTTCATAAATAGAAGTGCAGGGTGCACTTTCAATGTGCACTTTCAGTGTGCAGTCATCTCCAGTAGTTCATTGAATAATTCAGAAAATTACTCAGTTTTTGATGATCTTAATAGAAATAGAAATAATAGAAATAGCTTTATTTGTTATATAGAACTGAAACCAATGTAAGTAAGTGAAGTTATCATTTGCAGCTCCAGTGATTTGCCTACAAACAATTCGCATTTTCACTAAGAATGGTGTATCATGAATAATACATTACATGAATTGCCCAGGACTGCTACCTTAGATTAATGTGAATATCCTTTCTAGAATTCAAGCAATGGAATATGAAGTCAGTAAGTCAGGAACATGAAGAATTGCTTTAGCTGGCTGTGGTCTATCTTTGACTTGAGCACAGAAATGCACCAAACCCACATAATTTGACTCAGCATAGAATCACAGAACGGCCTGGGTTGAAAAGGGCCACAACGACCATCTGGTTCCAACCCCCTGCTATGTGCAGGGTCACCAACCACCAGACCAGGCTGCCCAGAGCCACATCCAGCCTGGCCTTGAATGCCTCCAGGGATGGGGCATCCACAACCTCCTTGGGCAACCTGTTCCACTGCCTCGCCACCATCAGAGTGAAAAACTTCCTCCTTTACATCCAACCTAAACCTCCCATGTCTCAGTTTAAAACCATTCCTCCTTGTCCTATCACTATTCACCCTCACCAACAGTCAACAATGCTGCTCACATTTCCTCTATTCCACAGTGTTGTCTCACTGTGGCTACTCTACCTCCACACACAACATGCAGATATCAGGCATTCAGGAGTTGATGGGCACCCCAAAATAATTTTGAACATTGTGGAAAATCTGATCTACAAGGCAGAGTGCCCACATGCCCACATGAAGGACGGGAGTTCAGTTACGCAGAGCAGAATTTCGCAAATTTCTTCCTTCTGCAAAGTTACAAACTTTACTGTATTTGTGAATTAATTCAAATTAATTTGTATTTTAATTTTTTTATATGCTTGGTGTTGTGCAGAGTAATAACTATTGATCAGTCTTTACCTTTTCCTCCTCTTTGGCTCACCACCTCAATTATTTCTAATTATCTTCTCTAATTGTTAAATTAAACACACAAGACTGCAATAGTCAGTGAAGACCCCTCTGTCTTCCATTATTTGTAGGCTTTCTGTAAGAAAAACCAGGCTAGCTAAATCCTTAGGCTGGAATCAATCTTTACATTACCTGCCACAGAGTAGAACTCTAATTGCAGTAAAGGATCCATCTAGATGGTTAAGTCTTTACTTTTAACAGCCTTTTTATTTTTTAGTTCAGCAGAAGTGCAATCTGCTAGGAGAGAAATCCATAAAATGAACTGGGTTATTCTTTTTAATACACAAAAGAAAGTTCCTACACAAGTATGGTCCTGCAGTCACTGAGAGCTCTGCTGGATCAAAAGCCTATGTCTGCTACTTACATTTATGAAATGAATTTCAAGTTACAGTAGTTCAAACAAGTTTTCCTTAGTTGTTGTGGATTATCTTGCCTGTAGTATAAGAAACATCAGGCAGTAGATTAAATACATTTTGCAGCACTTACTCATAGCTCATCAGTAGGTTGGTAACCTCCTAGCAGCACCTAGGTTAGTACATACCCTAGAATAATGAGAGGATTCCTCTCACACCTACCCACTAGTATGAGGATTGCCCTGTTGGGCATTCATATAAATTATCCTTCCCAGGTTAAGTGAAGAGCAAGGAGCTCTGTGAATATAAAATTCCAGTGTAAATTGGCGTAATCCACACAGGAAAAGCAAATTTCCATACTCCACATACTTGCCTTCTTTGTTGCTTAGCTCTGTAGCTGTTATAAAGTGATCAGCTCTTTGCTTCTGTTGTGAACAGATGTCCTCTCTTCCTTTATTAGGCATGTGTAAAAGGTCAGATGAATACCTGGAGTTGTTTGGTAGTGGTCTTACATTTACAATAGACTACACCAACTTTGATAGCCATTACCATTTGTTGGATGCTGCTCATAAACAGAACAAAAAGACATTATTTATCCAAAATATTTATAAGAAGTCTGGTTCCAGTCTTTCCAACTCATTCTGATTTCAGTCAATAGCAGAAAATAAGACAGAGAGGAGGAGAATTAACATGATAAGGCAACATTTTTCCCATGTTTTTCCCAGGGCAGAGCAACTGTCTTCTGCAAAATAATCAGAGCCAAACCTCACAAGTTCATAGTGGTTCCTAGCACAACAGTTGATTTGCTCAGGACAAAACAAGCAGGATGGCTGAGATAGGAGGTTGTTTTTATTATTATTATTATTTACGGTGTTCTTAAAGATATGGTTGCAAAGCTTTAGGAATTCTATGTGAAACATGGAGTGTATAATGTTGGAACTTCAGTGCCAAGATATCCTTTAGATCCTTGTTCAAGTCATAGTGTTCTCTCCTCTTCCCACATTATTAATCCTGTCCTCAGTGATTGTCCTTTTCTTTGGATGAAATCCCACTTTTTTCAGTGGAGAGAGAAATTAGAATCATTTTTGTTCCAAAGAATCACACACACGCACACAAAAGAATAGAACTATGTTCAGAAAAAGAAGCAAAGAATTACAGAAACACTATGGTTTATTTCATGCTAGATCTTTTAGACTGAATTTCCCAATTAGCTGAGCTCACAGCTGTTTCTCTATCAATAGTCCTCCTAATGGTTTATTGATTGTTATTTTAAACTCATTCCAGGAAACATGAATTCACGAATTTCCTATTTAGAAGTGTTGTCATAAACACATGTGAGTTGAGACAATTTTATGTGTTGCCTTATTGCTTTTGTAAAGGATACAGTTGTGACAGGAAGATTACACATGGCATCTGCCTCTAAGAGTCTGCCTTGAAATTACCATGACTAGTGCTGCTCCTGTTCTCTGTAGATTGGCCTTGCTGTTGTCACACCGTGACTCATCCTGCATCCCTTCCTTGCTAGGTTTCCATTATTCTGAGGTCTTTTTCCATGTGGCACTTCTGGCATCAGTGATAATGGCAACAGGGTTAGAGGTGGCTTGAGTTATTCACCTAGTATGCTCATTCTGCACCTTCATGTTGATGCCTCACCTGTTTTATATTTTAGACTGATGCAATAGGAAAGCGAGCATTTAGAAAAAGATATCAAAAGGGCCAAAGAAGAATTGAAAACAATGGCATTGAAGTTACTGTTTTCAGAGGTTGTGTGACAGGATTGTCACTGTGGAGGAAAGAGAAGAAAAGGGACCTATCAATCACAGAATCACAGAATCACACAGAATCACAGAATTGTAGGAGTTCGAGTTCTAGTTTACCTGAGTTTAGTTTGACTTAATGGCAGAGCAACAGTGAACTAGAAGTGACGCAGTGAGCAAGCAAAGAAAATCAGAATGAAATCAGAGGCACTGGAACAGGTTGCCCAAGGAGGTTGTGGATGCCCCATCCCTGCAGGCATTCAAGGCCAGGCTGGATGTGGCTCTGGGCAGCCTGGTCTGCTGGTTGGTGACCCTGCACATAGCAGGGGTTTGGAACCAGGTGATCATTGTGGTCTTTTTCAACCCAGGCCATTCTATGGTTCTATGAAACAGTAACAAGATGTGTGATTAGAGGAAAACAGCCAAAATGCTGCAGGGATGGATAATCTGGGAATAAATTCAAGAGAGAAGATTAGGAGAATATAAGAGGTGTGAAAAACAAAGGTGCTGGAACAAATGTTGCCCAGAAATGTTGCAATAAGGGAAGCAAGCATCAGAAGTGGAGGAGGCAGCACCAGCATCAGATACCTGCTCCAGGGAATGGAGAAGTTGTTAATGGAGGCCTTAGGGAGACCAAGAGTACAAAAGTATTTGCCCAGGAGCCAGCAGAGGATCAGCCTTTCTTCTTCTAACTGGGAAGACAACAGAGTTAGACTACTGAAAGGTTTTGAAATCATACATGAGAACTTGAGTCCCAGAGTTTCTATAATGTCAGCTTTCTCACATGCATAGATAGGGAATGTAAAGTCCAGAGTTTCTATGTCAAACTGATCATTTTGCTTTCCCAAGTGCATTTTAGGACTTAGCTGGAAACGCCTTTGTCTGAGAATGCTGCCATGCCATCAGGAATGCTCCTAATTCCTTTTCCAGGTCACCTGCACCGTGGAGACCAGAGACAAGATCCACACAGCCCAGCTGCGGAACGCGCTGCTGGAACGCTACCCCACAGCCGCGTGGACAGAGCGATGACGAGCAGAGCACAGATGGGGCTGAGGCCCCAGGACAAGTATTTTGTGGAGCACTAATCTTGAGGCATTCAGAACAAATAGTACCTTTTGGGGCTGAACGCTTAGCAAATAGCTTCAGGATATTTATTTCCTGCTCAAAACGTAGCACGTGTCCTTGGAAATGAAGTTTAACTCGGAACTTTAGCTTAGCTAAAGGCCATTTAATAGTTTCTGCTAGTGTTGGAATTCTCAGCTGGCTCACTGTTTTTTAGTAGAACGTAGAATCCTATGGCATCCAGTGAATAAACAGGAGAAGGCATTTTTCTTGATATTTGAATGTAGACCATTGGGTTTTTGGATACTGATGCCACTATTAAAGCAATGTAGCTCCTTCTGCTGGGTTCTCCTATATCACTAGTACCATCCTTTCTATTTCCAAGCCAGAAGCTGAATCTGCTTCAGGGAGGACATAAGTGTGTGGGAGTGTGAATGTATTTAAGTTTGCATAAGAGCTCTGCTATCATGAAAAAATACTGTGCTAATAAAATGCAATATAAAGAAACTCTTGAAAGATAAAAGCCAATATTGTACTTTTTCCTTATTTATAAGGTTTCAGAACACTTTGCAAAAGTTTTAAAAAATGAAAACAGAAAAAATTCTGAATATAATTAGACCACATGTGCAGAAAACAAGTTCTCACCCCTGCTTTTGGAGTGTAAAAGCTAGCCATAAGATGGGAACGATTTATTATAAGAAGGCATCTCTCCACCCTTTTGAGTTTTCTAATTAGAATCCCACTTATCACTTTATTCTGCCTAAAGCAGACTTGATCCTTCTCACCTGACAGATTAAGTGCAACGTTAAGAGTGAAATATATTTAAAGACCACACGTTACTAAGGAAAGGCAGCTTAGGGAGCGAAGGAAGCCCAAGGCTTAGGCAAGTGGCTAATGCAATTAAGAAAGAAAACATTGACCTAAATACTGTTTTCATTGCTGGAGATGAAGACCTACTGATATGGTAACATAACGGGATGGCAAGAGATGTAAGAGAAATTCATTGGAATGCCTTTCTCCAAGTGTGTGTACAACGGCCACCTTTCTGCTCGTGTCTAAGGAATTACAAATTATTTGTCCTTTATTGTGGCTCATAAAGGAGTGGAAATGGGGCAGAGGCTGATGGATAAATAAAAGAAGTTCACTGCTTTGGTGTGTTTTTGGAAGGACCACGTTGACTTGTACATGTAACTAAGAAATTATTGATACTGCATTATGGTCCTTTTCAGCCCAGGCCATTCTATGATTCTATTTTCTTTGAGTTCTTGTTTGGCCACCAGAACGTGTTCTGTAAATTACAGCCTGTGAGAGAGACACTACTCCTTGTTTCCAATCACAAGAATTTAAGAAATTCGTATAGAAACACACGATGACAGAATACATATTGAGTACCGTTGTTATCACTGAAGCAGGTGATGGATCGCTTCACCAAAGAGCAGACTTGGGGAGGTAAAAACACTAGAAATGAGGGTCAAATTACCTTTTCATCTCCTTTGGGAAACCTCTCAGAAAATTATGAGGGTGTTTTAGGTATCTATACGAGAACAAATTTAGACTTTATAACCAAAGGTCTCAACAGTGGCTGACAGCTTTTGCTGTCTGAATTCTTGGTTTGTTGTCATGCATTGTCCTGGATTTTACTTTTCTAGAAACTCAGAATATTAGTGATTTCATTTTTAATCAGAGATAACTGCATTTAGACAATATTCACTTAATGGGATGAGTGAGGTAAGAGATTCAACAACAAAAACTGAGAATTGCTGCATGTTCTCAAAACTCTGCTTTGGAAAAAAAAATTGAAAGCATTATCTGTAAGTTATTTGATATGTCACATATGACATACACAGTTTGTTTGTTTGTTTTAGTATTAGGTATCACCATAAATTGTAACATATTCTTCAGTATAAATCTCCTTAAAATAATGATACCATTCTGTACTGCTGTTATGCAGGTCCATCTGGTTTCTTAGGTAAATCAGGTTTTAGAGGTACTCTGACAAATATTGCAAACTTAACTAAAGCAGGCCTTCTGTTGTAGAACGTAGCAAATTCTACTAGATAGAATGCATGTTCTTATTTCCAATGGAGGGGAATGCCTTGACCTGGTTAATTCTGTTGGAGCTAAGCTGCTTAATGCTGGGAGCAGCTCTGTGATGCAGGATTTGTTCCGGCCACAGCAGAACTTCTTCCAAGAACTGAAGCAAACAAGGTTTATCTTCTCTTGGAAATATCTCTTCTCCATTGGATTCCTACTTTCCTAAGCCAAGGCATCTTAGCTCTGCATCAACATGTAAAACTTTGCCAGTAATGTTCACAGAGCATCAGGAACCATTATCCCATGCATCCTCACAAGCTGTCCCTTGCATTCAACCTACTTTTGGAAGATCTGGGGACATGTTCCACGTTCTCATTCCAAAATGCAGTAAATGTATTTGACATGCTGCATCAAACTTTTGCTAGATCCAAAGGTAAGCATGTGCTTTAGAGATCAGAAAACAAAACATAAAGCTCCTGGAGGCTCCTGGATTGGGCTTAAATTACTGTCAGTCATTTATTTGATGGCCTTGGATTCTTCAGTCACCTTCTTTGCCATGAGTTTAACTGTAAATGAGTTGCCATGTATGGGATATTGAAGTTTGCAGGATTTATTCTACTACTGACCTTATCTTTCATATGCTCCTAACTTTTTTATACCAGTGGAGGGCAAATTCTGCTGAATATCACACATTCCTGGGCTGATGCATTTCTCTTCAGTCAAATGATGGCACTAAAAAATGTTGCCAGTGATTGGAAGCATCCTAACAAGAATCACAAGAATCACAAGAATCACAAGGTTGGAAACGACCTATAAGATCATCCAGTCCAACCGTCTCCTCATCACCATTGCCACCACTAGTACTAAACCACATCACGCAGCACGTCATCCAGACACGTCTTGAACACTGCCAGGGACGGTGACTCCACCACCTCCCTGGGCAGCCATTCCAGTGCCTGACTACTCTCTGAGAGAAGTTCTTCCTTATGTCCAACCTAAACCTCCTCTGATACAACTTGCGGCCATTGCCCCGTGTCCTGCTCGTTGCCTGGGAGAAGAGGCCAGATCCCTCTTCACCACAGCCTCCCTTCAGGAGGTTGTACAGTGCAATGAGGTCTCCCCTGAGCCTCCTCTTCTCCAGACTGAACAATCCCAGCTCCCTCAGCCGCTCCTCATAAGGTTTGTGCTCCAGACCCCTCACCAGTTTTGTTGCCCTTCTCTGAACACGCTCCAGGATCTCAACATCTTTCCTGTAGTGAGGGGCCCAAAACTGAACACAATATGAATGTTTTGAAGTAATTCAGTATTGTGCATAAATAATAAGATCCCTAAGCCCAACTCGCCCATGTCTCTTTAAAAAAGACCTGAGGGCAGGGCAGAGGTGAATCAAGCACACCTGAGTGCATCCACAGAAAGGATATGAGGGGCTTGCCCTGCCCATAGGAGGAAAAAGAGAGTTTGGGTGGTGTGTGTTTTCTTTTTTCTTTCTTTTTGTTTGTTTGTTTGTTTGTTTGTTTGTTTGTTGGCTGGCTAGTGTGAACGTTTAAAATCTTTTGAGCTCCTGGAAGTTGTGGAGGTGAGTGTTAGTTTTCCTGTTCTGTTTTTCTTATGATGTCTGGTCCTTGAGATGCCTGGAGTGTCTTTAAGGAGATTTTAACCTGTGTTGCTTTTTGAGTCAGTAAGTTGATGTCTCTGCCTATTTCCTCAAGAGGCACCTAAGAGGCTTTTCTTAAAGAGAAGTCTGTAAGAACTCCAATAAAAGATGCAGCTGTATTTCTTTCCCCTCTCCCTTCCTTGCCCGCAGTCATTCACATGCTGCAATTATGTTTGGTGTTGTAGGGGGCCTGCCAGGCTGATGGCCAACACTGAAGTAAATGCTCAGGGCTTTTTTTTTTCACCCCTTTATTAAAACACACCATGATGGTCTCTTGATTAGTTCATGCAGACACCAGTCTGAACAAACACTCTACTGACAAGGTGAACTGAATGTGTGGGCTTACGGCATGTGCCAAAGTATTTCATCGAGTCTTGAAATAAGCTGAGTTACCTACGCACAAAGAAAAACCTGCTGTTTACAACAGTAGTGTAATCAAGAAGTGTGAATGGATGTTCCCTTCTCATTACTTACACGTGAGGTATAAATACAGAAGGAATGTGTAACTTGATTTCTCTTTCATGAAAACATCTCTGTATTAGTTCTTTCTTTAAGAATCTTGAAAGTATGAAAGCCTTAAAATCAGTGAGTTAATGCTTTCTAGAACAGTGCACCTTTAAAATCTTCTGTATGTCTGTTGTCTGCCACCCCTTCCTCTCCAGAGCACACCACAGTGCCCATACGCAGCAGATGGCAACACTTTGAAGACCCTGATTATAGCAGACAAACTTCCTGCAGACTCTACAACAGGTTGCTTCCCCAGTTGCAACAGGGCTACATTGCCATTTGGGAAACCAGCTATCCATTCCTAGGCAAATTAAATGCGTTTAACAACCAACCACTTAGTGATTTACAAAGTTGCCTCCCATTGTCTTTAGAAGAATCTAGGTCAGAGTGAAAGAGAAGCAAACCAAGACAACATGATATGATTTTGAGGCTTCTTTTCATAACTTCCTTGCAAAAACGACCTATGACCCCAAAGACTTGAGAAAAAGTTCTTGTAAACAAATAGGAAGCATCTCATTGTCTTCTTGGATTTAAGAAAGTTTCTGAGCTGGTTCCCTGTGCTCATGTTGCATTTCCTGACCTAGACTCATCAACAGAATGAGATTCTGAGCAGTGATTTCTTAAGTATACTGACCCAGAGGTGACTCTGTTTCAACAAGTATATTGCACTCATGTCCATCCGCTTCCATGAATGATGCTTTGAAGACGAAAAAAGAATCTGGGTAGTTTCTTGGAATTGCATTCTGAGCTTAAGTTACTAAGCAAACCCAGCGTAAGACCATTGTTAGAAGTGATGGTAGTTACTATTTGTATGTAAGATTTTTTTTTAACATGCAAGTAAAATAAATAACTCATTTTAGCAAATGCCTACAAAGCAGGTACTTTTCTTTCTTTCTTCATATTATTAGCATAAGTATGCATGTCTTCACACACTGGTTTTCACAGGGGGATTTTTCTTCTTATGGTTTCAATTTGAAATGGATGGTTCAACTCCATTTACTTCTATTCAGCAGTATTATCCGTCTGCTTGGCAGAAATAGCCATCCTGAAAACCTTTCATAATGTCAGCCTAGCTTTCTTGGTGGTTTACCCTTTTATTTTTAGTGATGCTCTTTAACTGTAAAAGCCTTTCTGTAAGCTTCATATGGTTTTCCTTTTGGTAGGAAGTAACACTTTTTGAGACTCTACAGCAAAGCACTAACATCTGCAAGTCTGGAGGGCTGGATGTGTTGACTGCAGATGTGGCAGTCTGAACTCTGTGCTGCTGTTAAGAAAATAAGGATAGATTTCATAGTTTTCTTTGCTTTCCCCACTTT